TCTCCTATTGGACTACTCGGGTGCCAACCCTCTCCCTCCTGCCTTCTGGGGACCCATTGGTCCCTTCGCCAGCCTCTCCGGGTACTATTGGTTCGCACACCTATCAATCTAATCTCACTCCTGCCCCCTCACCGAGCTATGACCGCCTCGCTGCCTCTACCAGCGTCCATTGGCCGAAGTCACTGTCGATCATCCTGTTCCCACCCCGTACGTCCAGTGTCCTCTCTGATTGGTCATACTCCGTCCCATTCTATTGGACAGTCAATCTGGCAATCGCAACGCTTTATCACACCCAGCCGCAAGCCCACCCATACTCCTTCGTGATTGGCCCACTGCCTCTGATTATTGGCTCAGACAGCTGCCAATCATCTATTGTTACCCAGGTAGCCCACGTGGGATTCTAGTGGGAGCGGTGGAGGGGGTCTCAACAAAACTTTATTGGCAGCCCTCTCAAGTGCACACGAGCCGTGGTTTCCCGTAGGCCCTACAACAATAAACACTTGGTAAACATATTGTCCACCTAAATAAAGATAGACACAGGCAGAGGGACAATGAGGCCCGTGGGTCCAAGGCCAAGCAACTTTATCGCCAGCCCCTCTCAGGCACGTACAGGCCTTGTGTTTTTGTAGGCCCTACAGTTAACACTGCGTGAATATTTCTCAAGCTTTAAATTAAAAAAAAGGAAACAGGCTCAAAACAAGACCAGCGGGTCGGCATTGCGCAAGCCCCTCTCAGGCCTTGAGTTTTGGTAGGCCCTACGGTAAACATAAACATGCACCAGCGATTAAATCCAAGCGAGGGGATTTCACAGGTGGGAAGGGGAACCAAACTGGGTACCGGGGAGGAAGGCTCCTCAAAGCCACATGCTGAGACGGGTACGGATCAGTTAAGGGTGGGGAGCAGCTGTTAAGCCGAGTGAGGGGGTCCCTAGATAACTAGCCTCCCTGCTCCACCCCAGAGGCGGTCGCATCTCAGTGTCCCCATCCCCGTCTAAATCATTCCTTTCTCCTGAACACCCACAGGCCAGGCAGCGAATGTTACCCCTCTGGACATGGCCAGGCCAAGGTCTCCAGACGTCAGCAGGAACCCGCTGTCGGAAGACTCACACTCGGTGGCCCAGACACCCTGGGGAGCCGACCGGGTTCGGCCGAGATGGACCCTGTTGTCGAGTGATCCCCAGACCTCCCCGAACCGCTGCTGAGGCCCAGATGGGGCTGTCGGGGGAGGGCTCTGCGAGAGGGCAGGCTGACTGTGGGGCAGGATACGGGGTCTTTCCCCGCTAGGGGGCACCGCCACTGATTTGACTCCAGACCTGGGGAGGGGGAGAAGTCAAATCCTTGGGGAGTTTCTGGCCAAGAAGTCCTGGCTCCCAGCCCCCCTCCTCTAGACCCCACTCCCCTCCCAGAGCCAGGGAGAGAACCCAGGAGTCCTGTGTCTGTGTTTTTAAGAGCATTCAACAGTCTCCTGGCCAGCCCCCAGGCCAATGTGATGGGCACAGAACCTGTGTTGTATCAGGGTGAGCCCCCCCGCCCCGTGGATAGTCCCTCCCGGGTACAACCCTCCACACCTGCACTTTGGCCCCAGCCAGCGCCCAGGGCTGCTCTCTGTCCCAGGGTGGGGCCATGCCAGGTGACAGGGCCCCTGTGCCCCCAGCCAGTGACGTGGGGGCCAGGGCGGAGACGCCGGGCAGCTCAGGAGATGTCTCTGTGACAGAAGCTCGGTGGAGGGGTAGGTATCCATCCGCCCTATCTCCTCTGAGGCAACTGAGCTGGGGAGCTGTGGTCAGCAGTGGTAGAAGCAGGAAAGGAACCCAGGCTCCCAGCCCCTGCTGCTCTAACCCCTACACCCCACTCCCCTCCCAGAGCTGGGACAGAACCCAGGCGTCCTGGCTCCCTGCCCCCCTAATCACTAGACCCCACTGCCTGCACAGAGCTGGGGATAGAACCCAGGCGTCCTGGCTCCCAGCCTCCCTGCCCCCCTAATCACTAGACCCCACTGCCTGCACAGAGCTGGGACAGAACCCAGGCGTCCTGGCTCCCAGCAGGATCTGTCTCCTCCAGCCCTGATCCTGGCGGGGGAGGGGGCAAGATATTTCTTGCTCCTAATTACACCCCAGCCAGGCATCTCTGACCCCCCCAGCACTCCCTCCTCCCCAGGGCAGCAACATGGGGCAGCCATGATCCTCCTGCATATGGGAGAGGGACATTAGAGGCATCCTGTGCCTTTAAATAGTGGGAGGGGGCTGGGGTGGGAGATGTTTTAAAGGGTGCCCCCCAAGCTGCAGCCTCTCTTTGGTGGGGGAGGGAACCCAGCCTTCTGAAGAGGGAAGGAGTGGGGGGGCTCTCCCCCTTCACCAGTGTCTCACCCCCTTTCCCCTGTTTAGGTTGCTGTCATGTGGGGCTGGGCCCTGCTCCCTGTCCTGCTGGCCATCTGGGGCACTGTGGGCTTCTGGGTGGTGTAAGTAACATGTATGGGGGGGTAGGTGAGCTCCCCCATTCTGCCTTGGGCTTCCTGCCCCCCTTGGGTGGGGAATGGGGCACGGGGCCTGTCCCCTCCAGGGGGTGGGTCAGAGGGAGGGTGCTGAGGAGGGGGTTTGATGGGTGACTCTGAGACCCTGAGCTCCTGCTCCCCTTCCCTTCGGGGCCAACTCTGTCACACGCCCCCCTTTCCCCCGCAGATACGCCATGTCCGTGGCCAACGGGTCTGTGAACGTCACAGTCGGGTTCCCGTATATCAGGTAGGTGGGTCAGATGCTGATCTCAGTTCCAGGGGTCAATCTGGAGTCACTCCTATTTGTAGCGGGGGTAGGGCTGGGTTCTGATCTCAGCCCCTGGAGTCAATCCGGAGTCACTCCTATTTGCAACGGGGGTAGGGCTGGGTTCTGGTCTCAGCCCCTGGGGTCAATCCGGAGTCACTCCTGTTTGCAGCGGGGGTAGTGCTGGGTTCTGGTCTCAGCCCCTGGGGTCAATCCGGAGTCACTCCTGTTTGCAGCGGGGGTAAGGCTGGGTTCTGGTCTCAGCCCCTGGGATCAATCCGGAGTCACTCCTGTTTGCAGCGGGGGTAGGGCTGGGTTCTAGTCTCAGCCCCTGGGGTCAATCTGGAGTCACACCTGTTTGCAGTGGGGGCAGGGCTGAGTTCTGCGAGTGGTGGGGCAGGGCCAGAGCCCGGCTGTATCTGTCGGGGTCTCTCTCCTCTTTCCCCAGCACCTGCGGCTCCGACCCTCCCCAGAGCTGCATCTTCAGTCAAGTGCTGAACGTGGGGGCGTTCCTGGGTAAGTGATGCCGGGACCAGCCACCTCTAGGGGGCACCGGTTCCCACTCGGGCCCCAGGGCAGGGACTGGCTGGCTCAGGGGGGCGGGGAATGGGGCGCAGGGCCTGTCCCCTCTAGGGGGTGCCGTCTCCCATCCGGCCCCAGGGCAG